AAGAAAGAAGTGAGGATATATTTTGTTTAACTGGATTAAAGAGTGAGAAAAAAAAGCATTAGAAGAAAAGGAATAACTTAAATGGAATGTACACTATATTATGAAAGTTACTGATCTAAGTCATATAAAGGAAAAATCATTTAAGATGTTTTGGACATATTGTGTCTGTACTGGAAGTCTGTTAATATTAATTCTAAAATATATCTAGGAAGTGCAGCTCCAAAGTGTAGTGAACAGGACACTGGAAGAGCTTACAATCGAAATAGATAAAATTTAGGCAAAAGAGTAGAAAAGGCAAGCAAAAGCAGAGTGACTGAGTAATTATGTTTGATAAATGTTTTGTTAGTTAATTTAAAAAAAAAATAACTAAAAAGGTAAGTGAGCTGGATTAAAGAATTAGGAGGTGAGACATGAATGCAGAGGCAAGGAACTGGTACAGAAATCTCCACCAATGAAAACAAAGCAGAAGAGATTTGAAGAAATCCTATAGTTGTGTTTTCTTCAGGAGCCCAGTGATCTAAGAATACTGAAGTAACAAACAGTCTGCTTAGGATTTTCCCTCCTCCTACAAATTGAATGTTGAGTCTCATTTCTCAGTATCATTAGCAACAAGCAGAATCATAACAAATTACAATTAGTAGCTCAGATGATATTTATGATTATCACCCTCTTCCCAGGTATGACTTTTTCTAGGTAACATGATTTTTCATTAATACAATTTGTTAATTGCCTACACAGAATAAGGGTTGTTGACTGATGTCTTCCTACCTTCTCTGAATATGCAATAGTTCCGAGAATAGAAACCTTGCCTACTGCTACTAGTTGGCACATTTCTAAATTCCCTGTTTTTACAAAGATATTAATGGGACTACTGCCTTCAGCAGTATTAATACAGAAAGCTGGAGAATGGATAAAAAACTTTAACAGACCAAAGAAAATCTGTTAATCTTTAGTCTTTTGAACACTGTATCAAGGTTGGAAACAATATAGGGTCATTTTGCTAGGAGAAAAGGCATTATCAGACCTTTTGAGGGCTGGGAAATGAAGAAAACCAAAACTGTTTACACAGAGAGAGGGAGAGCTAGGCAGAAATACTTCCCACAGTTTCTCACCCTTTACAGACTGTAAAGAACCTATGGCAATACTGAAGTTGAAGTCCAACTAACAGACATTTTTCTAGAGTAAAATCATAGAGATGGTAGCCATAGAAGGCAATCTCAAAATATACATTTTTCGAAAGGCCTCAGAATGCAGCTGTTAAACAGCATACCATAACACTAGAACAATTTAAGAACGAACACCATATATAAACTAAAACATAGGTGTTTAGGGTATGTACACTGTAAGAAGCCAAACTATAATTGGGGCAGGACACCAAAGCTCACAGTTTATAAACCCAGAAAAGGCGATTGTGATCACCTAGTCTGACTTCATCACTACGGTTTCTGTTTATTTTCTAGGAATGTAAAGGGTTAACTGATTATCCAGCTAGCATCACCCTTACCAGGTGATGTTTACCAGGTAAACGGTTAACCAGATTAGACCCCTGCCTGACACAGGCAGGGATCTGTTTCAGCTTGGCTGGCTCTACCACGCTGCACCACGGGCAACGGGCACTCCAGGCTGGCTGGGCTGGAGCAGCAGCAGCAGCAGCTCCCTGCTTGTAATGCGCCCTGTTGGAGCAGCCTCCCACACACGATGCAGAGGCAGATTTGGCCTAAGCAGCCCCTGCCTCGCCTAGTTGGAGCAGCCAACAGTCTGGAAGATCTGGCTGGCCAGCCCCCTCCTGCATCACGTGGATCCTACCTGCAGGATCCCCTGCCTGCAGGATCCCAGTTAACCTGTTAAACGAAACGTTTAACTTTTTAAATAGGCTATTGCATCCCTATTATTTACTAAATTAACTTTAGAGTACTTTTTAAGACAACCAAAAACAGTTATTTTCTTTTTCTTCAAATAGATAAATTGTAAATAAATGTAATAGTATAAATGGAACTAACTAAGATTTTAAGGCAGACTCTCTTGACTGCACGATCAGTAAGGCAGAGAATTATACCACTAAAGAGTGTCCTAAATACTCATTTAACAGTCATCTAGGATACACCAGAGTTCTAATAGTTTAAACCGAATCTTCTATTCCAGTTTCCAGAAAAAATTACCAAACTATTCTAAGCCAGTAGGAGGCTAAAGGGGAGAGGGGTGGTGGTGTGAAACATTTTTCCAAAATTCAACAAATAGTAAAGTTAATTTGTTACACAGGAGGATATTTTTTCTCTTATACACAAAAGATTAACAGATCTATGCAAGAACTGCCATAAGCAAGCTAACCAACCCTAAGCATAGACCAGCTCTCTCTCTAGCACTGGAAATGCTGAATTTTAAAAATATTAATAACATTTATATAATGCTTGTACTCAATTGTTAATTGGACATATTGCCCAGTCTCATTTTCAAAGCTATGTACAATGAACTAACCTGCAGATAAAATGATTCTGCAAAACATGACAACAGACTGTGCATTTTAAACCTTTTCCTGCTTTCTTGTGTGCGTGTATGGGCGTGCGCATGCATGGTCCGTTCTTGATGAGAATAATATCAACACAGAGTGAAGGCAGCAATTTCTCCAGAGTGAACTTCCCCTATTCTGAGCCAGAGGAAATACTAGGAATATAGCGAAGCCATTGGATGGAAAAAGAATGTAGTCTGTGCCTGACTACCAAAGGAAATCTGCTAAATCTGGATTTGTGGCAACATAAAACATAGAAATTCTTTAAAAACAGGATACTTGTGCACATAACTCCCTGTATGCTGCTTGAAAATTCATTTTGAAGTGTTAAACTCTCAATTTACACGCACACACTTGCACATTAGTAGCATTCATATCTATTTAAATGCTACAGCCAAGAAACTCTGCACATTCACCAGCTCTGCTTTTCTGTAAAAAAGGCTGAGAAATTGGCATCCAGTCCAAAAGGACGCTATCACAAAATATTTACAGAGGGATTTATAGGCCATGCACCAAAATGCCAAAAACCCAATGAAGCCAAACCTGTTAGAGAATCTGATTTTGCACATTACAATAAGACAAAAATAAACAAATACGCATAAACTCATTCATTTGCTTTAAAATTTGGGCCTTATTTGACCTATTATATATTAGAATAATTCAGTGTTAAAACTTTTAAAATAGACTGAAAAGTAAAGCTGATGCTAATACCTTGGGGGTTGGGCATTTTGGCCATTATAGTCCTGATAGTTTTCCTTTCATTCAATAGGAAATAACAAAGCTTCTAAGCTATTAAGACCCCAGTGAAAAAATCAGTTTTATATGACAAAAGAGAAGATTGAAAAAAAATCATGGGTTGTTAAATTTCATGATTTCCTACTGTGGAAGCTACTTCATGATGTGCTACTATTTTACGAAGAATACAGTACTTAATTTCCACATTTGCTTACTACTATTTACACACACTTTGCAGCCAAAGAAAAGAGGAACAAGTCTAAAGCACAGAACTAAAAACACTTCTAAATGTGCTGTATCATTAAAATCAAAACAATCTCCAACAGGATATTTAGCTGGATACTTATTATTGGAAACCTGGTCTGATTTGGGAAACAATTATTTAAGCACACCAGTAAAGATACTCAAGGCACTATACTCACCAGTATGAATCTTCTCGTGTCTCTGTAGCAGGTACTTCTGTATGAAACGCATGTCGCATTGACTGCACTGAAATGGTTTTTCACCTTAAACAATATAATTCCATATCCATAAGTTAATAACTACAATCTGTTGTTTCTGATGATTATTTTGAGGAATAAAATAGTTGTCTATAAGAAACAAGCATCTGAGCGAATTCCAAAATATTCAAATACCAAAAACTTTATTCCTATTAACTATATGGCCTTCCAAATTCTTCCCATGAGTCACATCAACACAAACATAGAGGAGTTGGAGCTGAAATGGCTGTAATTTCCTCAAGAACAAGATCAATCATGATGCTAGATTAAGTTTGCATTTGGGCTTCGGCAAGCTATTATAATGATAAGTATACTTTTCATTTATCTGAACCAGAGATACCTCAGCAGGCATCTAGAGCACATTTTACAAATGGGGTCAATTTTGGCACTTAGGCTACAAGACAACTCGTTACTTTCTGATAAAGAAAAGAAACTTTGTAAACAGTTATAGCCTCAGTTTAATGAATGTATGTTGATTTTTTTCTGGTGTTCTTTTGACACTTTGGTGCATGGAAATGCTAAGCTTAGATGCCAAGTTACCTACACTTTTAGAAATGAAATTCTCATAGAGCTGAAAACATTTTAACTGTGTGTAAACAGATCTTTATATTGAAGAAAAGACAAGTGAAGTCAAGCAGTACCTGTATGAATGAAGACGTGTCTTTGTAAATGGTAGTTGGTTCTAAAGGCAGCATTGCAATGTTCACAAACATGAGATTTGGGGGTTTTCAGACCAAGCGATCCATCCTCATTTATTGTAAGGATCTATTTAAAAAAAATAAAGTTTGTTCTCACATTTATCACTAACCATATTTTATTAACTACAAAATCAAAACATAGTATCCATTTGCAACGCAGAAAATTCAAATATTTCAAATAAAAATAGTGCCACCTTCTATAAAACTACATCAACAGGATTTTGGTTTTACATTTGCTACAACTGCCTAGTCCACACTTATGTATCACCCATTGTCTATCACGTAATGAACAAAAGCAACTGATGCAAAATTAGATTGCAGCTTCCCTATTCAGAGTGTAGTCATTTAAATGTCAGTGTTTACCTGTTGTGAAGGAGGTAAAGTAACCAAACCACCTTTGGAAACAGAGCCATGGATGATCATATTTTAAAGTAATACAGGTTGAATTTCTCTAGTTCGACACACTGGGGGCATACCCAGTGCCAAACCTCAGAATTTGCTGAACCACAGGAGGTCATTATTGTCTGGCAGTACTACCAACATTTCCACTGCTTACTGTGCTCTTAGGGTAAATTAGAGCTAAACAACAGCACATAACACTGAGAGCCACGGCTGGTGGCTGTAAACAAACCTTATCGGATCACAAGAAACTTGACCACACCCATGATAAGTGGACATCCCGCTAATTAAAATCATGCTGGACCACCGGACTGAGAGTGCAGACGAGAGAGGTTCAACTTGTAGTTCTCAAACTTTTTTTTCCTCATGACTCGGTTGAAGGAAATTGTTGATGCCTGCAACCCACCATAATTTATCTTTTGACTAGAGTGCAGACTCCAGGGTGGGGCTGAGGAAGAGGAATTGGGGGAAGAGACCCTCAGAACTGGGGCAGGGAATCGAGTCACAGACATACCTCTCGTGGCTCCCAGTTGCAGGCACCACCACTCACTCCCTTTGGCTGGTACCCAGCCATGGGAGTGAGGAGCTGGTTCTCAGGTGGGAGCAGTGCACAAGGCTAAGTCCCCCCAAGACCTGCCTAGTAACAGGATCTGCTGCTGGCCAATTCTGGGGTGCAAAGCAGTCCATGATGTCAAGATAGGCAGGAAGCCTGCCTTAGCACTCCAACTGATCACCAGATCACACAAGCAAAGTGACCCAGTGCATGACTTTCCATGACCTAGTACTGGTTCATGACCTGTACTTTGAAAACCATTGCTTTAAATAATAAGTTGAATGCTGTATGATCTTTGTGGGAATAAAGCAAGAATATATGATTTTCAAAATATATAAAAGTTTAACCCTAAGTAACCATATAACCTGTTTGCTACTGCACATCATAATAAAAATAAGATTGGCCTAATAAAACTGTGCTTCTGTCCAGTTACATATACAATGCCAGTACAGAAGTAATTTTTTTATGTTTACTTATGTTCCATTATATTCCTGTTAAGGATATAAATATCAGTTAAAACAGTTAACCAGTTAACCAATTCAAATTATATAATTTAACCAGCTAACCATTAACCAAGGTCACTTTGGCAAATCAGCTCAGGGCAGTTGAGTCTAGAGTCCTGTCCCAATGGTCAGTCACAGTGGGGGCTGCTCCAGGCCAGCCTGCTCCAGCCTGCATGGCCCACCATGACCAGGGCCAGGGTCTCACTGACCGGCCAGTCCGCCATGGCTGGGGCTGCTCCAGTAAGCATTTTGGTAAGACTAATGTTTACCAAACGTTCACATCCCTAATTCCCTTAGCCTGGATTTCTGATTCTTTGATATACTGACACGGTACAGTACGTAGCAGACTTTTATTTCAGTTTTGTATGCTAAGCGAATCACAATACAACCTCCCCCAGTAATCGGTAATACCTTGGATCCCATCTAACTCGTTCATCCTATGGAGCCCTTCCTCACTTAAGACTATCCCTTGAAAAGGTCTCCCTGTCAAATTCAGCTTTCCACTTTCACTAACGATGTTAGGGACATAAGCAACTAGTCGACTATCCAATAGGCATTTATCGGACTCAACTTGTCACTTCCTCCCTCTTGCTGCCTCTATCGGGGGAGGCTTAAAAGCTGGTTCCCCCAGCACCATATCTGTGGGAAGAAGGGGCAGGGGCACAGCAGGAAACTGGAGGTTCTTCTGCTTTTGAAATGTAGCACAAGCTCTTGCGACATTTCAAAAGCGGAAGCCCTGAGGGGAGCTGGGGACTCAAACAGTCTCCCACTGGCCTAGTGCTCCCAAGGGTGCTTTGCTTTTGAAATGTACAAGAGTCCTCCTGTAGCAAGCTGCTCTTGCTATATTTCAAAGGCAGAGGTGCCCTTATTGACTAATCGAATAGTCAATGCAAATTACATCGACTACTCTATTAGTTGATTAATCTAATTTTAACATCCTTAATTGATATCATAGTAATTTTTTTTAAGATGCAAGAATTTTTTAAATACTAGGGAAAGTTCATTTTCACACTATCCCCCATTTGATATGTCAGTATAGTTTTGCTCACACTTGCCCCAAAATAGCACCATTGGGAGGAGACGACCAGCAAGAAAATGGCAGCCTGAAATTTTCAGATTTTAGGTAATTGAAAAGTGTTTTAATAGTGTGTTACAACTAGCGATGTAAAATCCAGTTGAATTGGTTAAATGGTTAAACGGTGCTGATGTAGCTCCCGGCCATGGCTGCCCTTGCTGGCCCCCATGTAGGTGGGGAGCCAGCAGCCCCGCACGGGAAGCCTGGCAGGACTGGAGCAGCACTTCACCCACAGCTGGGCCATAGGCAGGGGGCTGCTCCTGGGATACCAGTAACCATTACCCGGTAAACACCACCATTAAGGATGATGGTTACTGGGTAATATTTTAACTAGTTACCCATTAACATTCTAGTTATAACAAAATCATCTCAAATAAATAGTAATGTTGTTGATTGATTGGTTAACTGATGCGATTAGCCCAAAAAAGTAATCACAATTATCACACTGTTAAACACTAGATACCAAATGAAATGTATTAAATATTTATTTCTACTACAACACCGAATGCGAAGTGTAGAGTGCTCATGTCATATTATTTTATTGCAAATATTCCAGCTTCTTATTTACAATGTCACCTGAAAATGGAACAGGTCTTGGATGGCACTTTACAGCCAGTGTTACAAGGTATTCACATCCCAGATATGCTAAACATTCATATTCACCTTCATGCTTCAGTCACCATCCCAGAAGACACGGTTCCATACTGATGACACTCATTAAAGAAAATGCATTAGTTAAATTTGTGCGTGAACTCCTACAGGGAGAACTGTACATCTCTTGCTCTGTTTTACCTGAATTCTGCCATATATATCATGTTGTAATAGACTTGGAGGATGACCCAGCTCACGTTTAAAAACACTTTCACTGCAGGTTTGACAACACACAAAGAAGATACCAATGTGAGATTTCTAAAAATAGCTACAACAATTGACCCAAGGCATAAGAATCTGAAGGGCCACCCAAAATCTGAGACGATGAAGTGTGGAGCACACTTTCACAAGTCTTAAAAGAGCAACATCCCGATGCAGAAATTATAGAACCTGAATCACCAAAAAAAAAAATCTAGCTTCTGGTGGTGGCATCCGACTCAGAGGATGAAAACAAATGTGTGTCAGTCTGCTCTGCTTTGGATATTTATCTAGCAGAACACATTAACAGCATGGACATATCTTCCGAAACAGTGGCTAAAGCATGAAGGATTACATGAATTAGTGCATTCTAGCACATAAACATCTTGCAAAGCTGGCTACAACAGCACCATGTAAATACCTGTTCTCACTTTCAGGTGACACTGTAAACAAGACGCAGGCAACATTAGCTTCTACAAATTGTAACCAATCTTATATGTCTGAGCAATTGGCTGAACAAGGAGGACTAAGTGGATCTGTAGGCTGTAAAGTTTTACACTTTTTTGAATGCAGTATTTATTTTGTACATAATTCTACTCTTATAAGTTCAACTTTCATGATAAAGAGATTGCACTACAGTACCTGTATTAGGCAAATTGAAAAACATTGTTACTTAAATTTTTTACAGTGCAAATACTTGTAATAAAAAATATATATAAAGTGGGCACTGGACACTTTGTATTCTGTGTTGTAATTGAAATCAACATATTGAAAATGTAAAAAACATCCACAAATATTTTTAAAAATGGTATTTTATTATTAACAGTGCAATTAATTGTGTGATTAATTTTAATGGCTTAACAACCCTAATAAATAGTGATTAGCACTCTAACTATAAAAACAAAGCAAGCGAAAGAGCTTCTTGCTGTGTGACTGCTGATAAACTCAGTATTAACTGTTATAGGATCTACTTTGAAAAATGTTCCAATTTTACGTGCTGGTTCTGCTATAGTAGACCTCACAGACAGTTCAGGGGCTGATCTAGCACACACACTTAAAATCAATGGGGTTACTTACATGTTTATCAACAACTACATGTTTGCAGGGGCCTTATAGATCTGTTAAGTCCAATGCTTATAAAATTATGTTCTGTAACAATATACTTCTACTTAAAGCACTGCCAGATATAAAACTATATTTTATAAAACAATGACATTTCATCACATGTATTATGTATATAATTGACATTTTAAAATAACTGTGATGAAAACAAAAAAAAACCATTTTCTTCCTTTTTTGCTCTAAATTTGAGAATCTTTAATTTATTGGGTTGTGGCTCCCCTTAAATGAAGAAAATCAGTTGTGCCAATGCAGTTTTGGCAAAATGTAATCCAAAAAATAATGGGGTAAAAATTAATTAGAACTATAGATTTTTCAAGTAGACAATTAATAAATGAAAAATAGTACTGAAAATATTTCAGTGTATTTACCTCCACACTTAAAAACTCAGCTGTTGGGCTGAAAACAAATCAAGACCAATATTCTGGGATTATACCAATCTTTCTGTTTTTCCTGACCTCCCTATTTTTATGAGCCAATAAAAGATTGATACAAAACTTCTCAATGATTTTCTTCAAACTTTTTCAATCCCACTTCATGTCAGGGCTTCTATGTGGCTCAATCTGAGT